TGGATGGAATGGATTAATAAATGTCTGTGTATTAATAACTATAGCGTCGATGGAATTCACAAGGTTTGGGCTTTTGAGAATCTGGATTTTTGACACTGTTGGCAGTTACATGGGTGTGGTAACTTTTATGATAATTCAGTGAACTGCACATGTATGATTTCTGGGCTGTTTATGTATGTGTTATATTTAAACAAAAACTTTAGAAAAGTAAATTGAATGAACTCAACTTCTATTTCTGACCACAAAAGAGTAACACAAATTGGACTTTACCCCATTAAAATGTATATAGGAAACAGCTTTCAAATACACTGGACAATCAGCTAAGCAAAGACAGTGTTACCTACAAGATGAGAAACAAACAAGGTGAGCCCTACAGTTGCCCCAGTTACTAAACAGAATCCATTCAGAACCATAAAATATGATTCAACAAGTTAAAACACAATGGAATTAAATTTGAAAAGAAAGTAACATACTTTTAAACAACCTTAACCTAGGGTAGAGGAATAAACCAAAAGGAGAATTTTAACATACCCTGACTTGAACAAAAACTAAAACACGATGTATCAAAATTTATGAGATGCCACTAAAGTATTTAGGAGAAAAGTTATATACTAAACACATACATTAGAAAAGAGCAGTTTCAGATCAATGACCTCAGCTTCCACTTTCTGAAAGAAAAACAGTAATCTAAAGTAGCACGAAGAAAGGAAATAGAGATCGGAGTGTAGATCAACATGTAGAAAACATAAAACAAGAAAATCAATAAAACTAGAGTCATGTCTAATATATACATCCTAATCCATGGAACTCGTGGCTCTTATTTTTATAAAGGGTCTTTACAGCTATAATTAAGTTAAAGGACTCTGAGATGTGTGAATCAACCTGTGTGACCCGGGCAGGCCCCAAATTCAATGTTCAGTGTCCTTATCAGAAACAGACGATTGAGAGGTCCACAGAGGATAGGCAAGGGAACCAGAGTTTGAACTGATGCAGCCACAAACCAAGGGACACCTGGAACCACCAAATGCTGGAAGAGGAAAGAAAGAAGGATAGAAATCCTGCCAATATATTGAATTCAGACTGCTGGCCATCAGAATTGTGAGAGAATAAACTTCTGTTGTCTTAAGCCACCAAATTTAGAGTAATGTATCATAAAAAATACAGTAGATTAATCTTAGAGAAAAATCAATAAAATTAATAAACCTCTACTAAAATGACCAGGAAAAACAAGATGCCACTAATTAACAGTATCAGAAAGGTGACATCATTACCAATTATACAGATAAGAAAAGGATAAGAAAATACTGTGAAACACTTTATTACAGAAAATCAGACATAAGTAAAACAGACCATAAGCTTATTGAAAACAGATCACAGAAGTAAAACTCGTAAGAATAAAGTCTCTAGAGGGAAACATAAAAGGGCAGCTTATGACTTTTGACTAGTTAAATATTTCTTAGACATGATCACATAAGCATTAGCAATTTTTTAAAATACTGATAAAATCAATTTTGTCAAAATTTTAAATTTATGCTTTAAGAGAATGACAAGTCACATACTGGGAGAAAATATTTACAAATCACACAACAAAGGACATGTTCTAGAATACATAAAAAGCTTTCAAAACTCAAGAATAAGAAAATCAATCAATCCATATAAAAACCGGGTTAAAGATTTGAATCAATGCTAGATTAAAAAAACTGGGGGAATGGAGAATAAGCACACAAGATAATCAACATTGTTATTCAACAGAGAAATGACAATTATGACCACAATAATGGTAATATGCACCTATTAGGGTGGATAAATATTTAAAAGATCAACAATATCAAATTCTGGCAAAGATGTAAAATAATGAAACTCTCATACCTTGGTGGTAGGACAGTAAAATGGGGTGCCAGTGCTTAAAAAGTAAAATGAGATGCTTCAAAATATCTGAACTTTTAAAAAAACCCTTGTATACATGCCTACCATTTTATGTAGTCATTCCACTCCTATGTATTTCCCCAGGAGAAATGAAAGCATAGGTACATACAAATACTTGCAATGATTATTCATAGAAGTTTTGTTTCCATTTGTCAAAAACTAGAAAGAATCCAAATAACCATAAATAGGTGAATAGATAAACAAACTAATAACCGTACAATTTAAAAAATCTATCGTCACACAAACTAGATGTTGAGGATTCCAAGAGAAATATGTTGAGTGAAAGAAAGCAGCCGGGAAAAAAGCATGTCCTGTACAACTCCATTTACAAGACTTTAGAAAATGCAAACCGAACAGCAGCCAAGGGTTCAGCAGGTTCATGTGAGCTGGAACGGAAGGGTCAGCGAAGAGCAGGAGGACGAAGCAATGAAGGGGTAAGGGAATTTGTGGGTTTAGGTGATGGCATATAAACTTATGAAGCTGTGTGATCCAAATAATTACAGTTTATTGTAAGCCAACTATATCTCAATAGAACTTAAAAACAATGAATACAATTACCTGTTCCCAAAACCTTAGAATCTGACATGGAAGTCGACGCTACAAAGCTGAAAGTATTCTTTTGAAAGCAGGGAAAGGAAAAGTTGAAAAAGTAGGCAC